TGGTAAGCCAGCGCGAGTCATTGTATAGGCCAGATATGCATTCAATCATCTCCAAAGGATGCTTAATGAAGTCGAATGCATAGCGCACCCTTAAGGTACTGATCAACGCCGAGAGCTTTATCCTTTATCTTTTATCATCTTATAAGAACTTCATATGTCAAATTTAGTCAGTAAAACAGAAAGAACAACAAAGACAAATGGTCGACGAACTGCATGTTACCTGAAGAGTATCAATGAGGCGAAGAAGTTGATCTATCACTCCGAATGTGAGAGTGTGTGTATGCACGTGAGCATCAATGCGTAACGACGACTTAATTTCATGACATTACTGCCTCTCAATTTTTTCTCCTAAAAGGTTAGTGAAGCGCCTCATCCAATCTCGCTGAGTTTCAACTGAATTTTTTAAACTTGAAAGGTTATGAAAGGGCTTAGGGAAGCTAAATTTTAAGGAAATCTTGCACGAAGCAGTGTAGCAAACGAATCATCTTATCAGTCCAGAAAAGTTTAGGAAATCTCAAAAGGTTGATTCAAGTCTTGATTGCTTTTTGCTACCAGTGAATTATGGAGCCAACCACCGGTATTGTAAACGAGAAAGACTGGGTAAATACAATTCACTGGCAAGATTTCTATTTAGACTCAAAACCATCCATGAGTGATTAATCATTACTGGCCTCCAAAATGTTAATTTTTTGAGCATTATTTGTCATTGCAAAGGAAAAACCTTTCGGGAAATTAGGGATGTCGATGTTGGCCAACGAACTCAGGCAAGCTGTTTAAATGAATTCATCTCGGGAGTGTTCTGAAGCTATGGCGATACCTAGAAGACCAGCGGCAACGGTCCGGTCGTTGCATCGCGGACCGCAGCAGCTCGAGCGCTGCTATTCACCAAACACAAGCACCGACTAGATCTGCAATAAAACCTTGTCCTTGAAGGAGCACTTGAGCGAAAGTAGGAGGATATCGAGAACTCTTGATAATCTCATAGCTTGAGTGTAGAGAAAAATCTCGTGATGAAGATACTTTGTTTCACTTATATCTCCTGTGTATAGGCAAACGGCAGAGCATATATTCATTGTAACAGGGCTCTGAGCGTAGAAAAGATTAGCAATATTTTAAATATATGCATCGACTTTAATGCAAAACGCGTTAACACAACGTTGATCAAACTACAATAACTGATCCCCGGCAATTACTCCACTATAGATGATTGCCTTGCCATTTCCTACACACGAGAGAAAATGGATAAATATTCCGACCCACTAAATTAACAGTTAGAGTACATTAAGTTCACCCGAGAGAATCAGAAAGGAAACTGGCTTCCATGTCCGAATTAATAACCTGCCCAAAAATATCTGCATTACAAAATGGTCCCAAACGTCAAGTAATAAACAGTACTGGTTCATTAACTCTCCTTTCAATTACCACATACCTGAAGTATACTTATCATAAACGTGCTTCAAACAGCCACCAGCGTGTGCACGGGAAGAGGGCAGAAGGAGGAATCGCAGAAACTGGCGTGGCAAGCAGCCATTTCTTGTGGCTACGAAACCTTCGCTCCTTGGGATAGGTGTAGAGGAAAATCCAAAGCTCTAGTGGTAATAAGGTCCCGTTTGTCCCACGTTTCATCATGAACGAAATAAGTGAAGCTGAAAAACACTGCTTAAGAAGGGCCGGTCTTGACTGTGATTGAAATACCACCGAGCACTCTAATATTCCAGCCAGTCTGTAGTCAAATGCGTAACCATCTTTGCACAACGAAAGATCGTATAATATGCCCCAACGGTAAAGACGGTGACTGCTTGACTTTGAGTTCGGTTTATCTAGTCTCTTATAAAGCAGGGTACGAATACGTTGGTGAAACGGGTAGATCACTCAGCGTACGTACAAAAGAACAATTAGAACTTAAACTAGGTACTCCATAAGGCGCACATAGGACGTAGACACATAAAGGAGATGATTTTGATGTAGAAGTCACTATCCTCACAGAAGAATCGAATACTTCAACGTGGAAAATAACCGAAGCATCTTGGATGAATACCAAAAATTCAAGAGGATCTTCAGGGTAGAAGGCCTCGTAATCATACGTGATCTCCCACAGTACCTAAGACGGATAATTTGACGTGAAGGAGTCAAACCACTCAACCCACCTCCATGTGAACTCTGTGCAGTTGTTCTCCACGTGAAGTACTATGTGGTAAACTTATACAAAGAAATAAATCTGCGAAGAAGCTATTTTATTTCCAATGCGATTCAAATCTACACTTCCTATTTTTTTTTGTTTTCTTTATGGACGTGTGTTGGTTGGGTAGATTTCAGTCAACTTGACCCTTGTAGGCCATGGAGAAGGCGAAATCCGCAGACACGCCAGTTCTTTTATAAATTAAGAATGAAGTAAGAACCTCATACTTGCTCATCAAGGATACAATGAATTATTTGGTCAATTATAGGTTAATAGAAAGCCTGCTTTGGTAGTTAATGTCTAAGCATAACTTTGCCCTTCAGACATAGGCAAGTATTCCTCAGCTCACCTACGCGAAATGGAAAAATTAGGAGAATCCACAATCATCGATAGCATGACAGAATTTTTTTATGCCAAGTGGAAGCCTGATTTCCTGGAGTCTGCAAAGCGAATTATTATTCCGTTTTCTTTTTCAGCAGTTCATATAGCCCATTCGGACTAAGACAGCATTGTGACTAGGTGGATGGGACTCCTTCCAGAAAATCTCTAGGACCTCTTGAAAGTCTGCGGATGCTGCATTCGTTCTCATTGTTTTTTTAAAAACCGATTTACAAGATCAAAAATATAAATTAAAATTTAACCATTTTTTATTTAGTGCCTATTCTTTTTCGTGTCAGTGTATGATGTGAAGCATAACCGCAGTGATGGTGAGATATTTTCAAAACTCCAGTGCTCTGGTGTCTGCGGTGGGGACCAAACACGTTATTACGCTTTGCGGCAGCTAGTGCGCTCATCACTGCACCATTCTGATCCTTTAATTCGTCTTTCTCCTTCTTTCATCGTGGCTGCATTTAGCATAATACCCTACTATGAAAAATTGTAAAAATTATAATTCCGTTCACGGGTGATTGCTGATAGCCCCTATAAAGCACGGCTGAGAGAGGCGAAAGGAGGGACCCGCACGGTGTGCTGCTAAACGCGTTAGTACCCGAAAAGGGAGTAGCGTACTCAGCTCCCACCAAAGGCACCTGCTACTCAAAGTTTTACAAATATCTCAGCATTATCGTAGTTATAAGCTACATCTTACAATTGCGCACTCTGTGAAGCAATACCAGTTTTATCAGTTTATTATGTTCTCAATTCCTCAAGACCAAACCCTAGTTATTGAAAATTTAACTGCAGGTTTCGAAGCACCTGGCTCTCGAATGTCTTAAAAAAGCACTGCTTCATAGATATGAATGCACTCGTAACGCGGTATTTCCAAGCAACAGTGTACATCGATATGCATCAAAACAGGAATTCTTCCAACTGTTATGCCGCAGAAGTAAATTTCTGATCAGCACTCCGAAAGCAAAAGCCATTGCATGACTTCTTTGATCTCATAGAAAATCAAATAGAACCTGCAAATTGCCATAAAAAGTGAAATTCTTCGTGGTTCCGTTGTTTTCGTATAGCATAAAGGCTAAAACAACATGCCACTAAGGTACAAATTGCACTAATGGCAAGGGAGAATGCGTATGGCGTCAAGCACTAGGCTTTGATCGTCTTCTTAGAGACGCACCATTCGCTGAACTTCGTTAAGCATCGTAGAAATAATCAATTGTATATTTAACACACAAATATTCCAAGGAATGCGAAACAGTTATTCCGCATTCTTCGGAGCATTCGGTGCACCTCCATTCTCCACATCAGCACTCGCTTTCTGAGCGTCTAGCTCTTGATGGCCTTACTAGCCTCTTGTTCAGTCGCATTGAAATACGTCCTTTCAAGCTTCGAAGAGCCAGAAAGTTGATCTCGTGCATTTCTCAGCTGCGAGATTAAAGCAATCGTCTAACAGTCTTATAATATCAAACCACTTGATGGCCTATCGATGTCTCAAGATAGGATATTTATCATCACAGAGAAATCCGTTAATTATGCGACATCTTTTGGAGCAAGGTATCTCTAAACATTGAGAAATACCTGACCAGTGGCCATAAATACGTATTATAGAATGATTCTATAAAAAATCAAACACTAAAAATGCAAAGAATTTCTGCGCACCTTGTGGAGAAGAACAGACTTCGGAGAAAAGCCATTCTTGTCTCATGGAGATCAGCAAATTCGTTTCAAATGCCACTTTTGTAGATTTTGATGTAGACGGAAAGCTTTTTTCGAACAGCACAATACCTACACTACAGGCAGTTGGTTTAATGTAGAAGAATGCTAATACTTTCAAAATGATTGTTGAACACTTGCGCAAATATTTCCCAAACCGACCGCCATTTAACCCCGGCACCTCAAGTGATTGCGTATGTAAACTTGTATAAATAATTCGTTGGTTCATTGAATGTATCTATCGAGTTACACCTTTGAAAAAAAAATGGTGAACTTTCCAACAAATCCATAAAAGAGGTTTTTTCTCGAAGTTCCATGAAAAATTTTTCATGTCAGTCTTTAATATGTGGTCCAGCTTATCCACCAGTGTAACTGATGTCCAGTGGTGCTATGTTGTAACAAGGGAATTATCGCACTTTCTACGCACACCAGCACCTCTAAGCACCGTTTTATTATACTTTCCTTAACTCCAACGTTCTTTCCTTTTAAAAAAATATCAAAATTACGGTAATCACTTAAACTTTACTTAAGCTTCTATTGGCTCTTTCTCATCCTTCGTCGGCTTTAAATCTCATTACTACTCCGTCTAAAACGCATCCAGTCATTCAGCAGATAGTATCAACTCGCTAAGACAAACTAATGATTTCTTTAGCTAGGAATAAGCTTTCTCGCTATGTTTTTGATTTTATTCTTGTCCTATATTCCATTGGCGCTTCAATCGTGCATGGATGATGGTATTGAGCGTGCTGACGGCGAGAAATGGGTACGAAATGGGAATTTTCTTGTTACGTGTGCCTTGGGAGAGATTAAGGTTTGTTTAGCGTTTTTCATTGACTTACGCGTAAACAACAAGACTAAACTGCCAGTTTCTTATTGCTTTCCAGTGGTTCTCTTTTGGTGATCAAGCATTTCTTTGCACGTATTATGCTTAACGCTTAATATGCGTATCATTTGTAGGTCATACTTTATATTTTGTATGTCGAATCATTCCGCATGCACTTCAACTTTCACCATACAGCTAAACCTAATTACCATCATTTGTGGAGACCTTCAGCATCATGTGGTAGGCCACAGTCGCTATAGGAGTACTGTGATCATAATCGAACTTCATTTGCCAACGATCATCCACGGCTCTTCAAATCTTTACCTTATCCACCCTTTCTCCTTCTACTAATGCAATCGACGTTATGAAAAATTTTGGTATATGAACGGTTGGATCGCCAGTCTGTGATACTTGACTAAATGCTGTTTTCAGCGCCTGAAGTAACGTCAAGCCTTTTTCTTAAGCGCTGAAAAAATTATAAAACCCTGCTGTTTTCACCACTTGGCACGTGAAAGCATATAGCGCTGAGTCAAGGAATTTACGGCGTTGCTGTGATCTGCAAAAGTCAGTGTCGTTATTGGCTACTATAAATCATAACAATACTTTAAAACCGGCTTTCCTTTAAACTCGGTATGACCAACCAGTATGTAATCTTTTTTGATAAGCCTACACGAGGTTGAAAAATAGTTTTTTTTGGCTATGACTATGACTCATTCGAGAGAGATGCTCCACTGAGGAAGATCCGGCCCGATGCGCGACGAAGCGCCACCTCGAAAAGGCGAACAACTGTGAGCCATCGTCTCGGTTTATCGGCTCTGATGAAAACGAAACCGTCCAAACATTAGCCGAATAAAACATCTTCATCAGCCTCGTGTAAGCCTATAGAGAAGAGACTACATACGATCTGTTTAGCCTTCTTGTTGTTTCTCCTTTCTTAATAACCTTAGCTCCTGAGTGACCAGCAGTGCTAACCGTCGTCCAGCTTTGAATTGCTCTTCTAATGTCCTTTCACTGTTAGTGATATACTTCAAAATAAAAACAAGTTATCAACAAATATAGCGCTGAAGAGAGAATTCTTGCACATACCTCAGTTTCTGGTCTCTCCACTACAACGGTACCTTTGTCTCCATAGATTGACCGAAACAATCTGACACTAACCTTTCCGTGCATTGATTGAAAAGAGGCCGGTAGTAATATATCGGCATAGAATCGAAATTCCTAACGGCGTTTGGTTCACTTAATGTGCCGAGATTCACCCAGTTCTCGAAATGAGACCATTTTCTATCGTAATTGACGTTCTCTGTTTAACGAACAATAATTACTTTGACATCGTGTGATTGCTGCTAACTGTTCCATAACGTTTATCACTTTTATACCCTTTTGATGATTTATAAAGATGACGTTCTGCTATCATATGCGTACTAATACGTGGTTAGTAGTCGTCGAAAGAAGAAGCATTGAGTCATTGCCTGTTTACTTCCACACACATAGAGCACATACAACACAACGGTAGCTAACGTTTCTGCAGTCCCTCCTTCTTCAGAGCCTGGATGAGTACACTAATATGTAATTTACTAGGTCAAATGCTTCAACAGCACAAACACAATTGTACGTTCTATGTGTAGTATGGAAGTAAACGTGTGCTCAATAACAACCTCGCGATTGCTGAAAAAGAAAACGACACATTTATACTTCAGTGCCAAGGTTAATAGAATGTCGATTCTGGGAACAGTTGTTATATTCCATCGTTGTCATGACTTTTCTACTGGGACTGGACAGACCTTCTGCTAGTTGCCAATTTCTTAATCTGTCCCTTAAACATTGCTCAGGGTGAGAGGAGCGTATGGAAACAAACGATTTGTTGAGAATATGCGTAGTCTTATTATTGTGAAGGTCAATTTGACCTCTTTAGAAACGTCTCATCCATTACAATATGATTTAAGAGATAGAGTTGTGCTAGTTTTCATCAATCAACTGTTTGGCTTTGCTGAGAAAGCATTGCACACTCTCTTTACTTCGTTCATCTGTTCATTTCCGAGCGCCATTCAAAATCTTTCGTTTTAAATCAGGACCTCGCGGAACACTTCCGTCGGTTTCTTGTTTTTCCTGAGGACGTTCACTAGAGAGCGTCAAACTCGAGATCACATTTCAGTTGTGCAACCTAGAAAGTGGCATCGTTGCTCTATTCTGCACCCTCTTGCTGACTTATTTATAGAGTTTTTGTGATCTCGGAGGTATTCTTGCATATCTGGAGACAAAAACCTTTTCTTATGAAGTCAAAAAGATGTGCTGAACGTCACAAATCATAATAGCCGCTGCTATCAGGCTCAAACAGGCTATTTAGGAATATTTTCTTCCAATTTGAAGAGCCTACTAAATTCATTCAGATGTTTAAAAATTAAAAATTTACTGCGAGCACATTGCTAAACTGAACTCACTTAACCTCGCCGCGAGTAATCAAAATGTTTTTCTAGACTGTTCAGCTTATACGTGGTTGTTATACAAGTTCAATTTAGCTATCGTTTTCACCTCTTCGCCTTGTTCAGAGCCGACGGTCCTAGTCAATGGGCCACTGTCACTCGTTCTCCCCTTATGGATCTTCGTAGTCGTATCGAGTCAAATCATCTTGATTGGAGCACAGCTTGAATTAACTAACCGTACTCAGCGATGCGTCTTTTTATACATTCCAGTAAAAGGATAAAATAAAGGGTGAAACTCTCGGCATTGATCAATCCCTGAGGGAAGCGCCATGTATTCGACTTCATTAAGCATCGTTAGAGGTGACTGGATGCATATATAGCCTATACAATGGCGGTAGCCTAGTGATGTGTCGAGACAGTACTGCAATCCTCCCGGCCAAGTGTGTTACCAAATTTTCGAACCCAGAGGGATAGAGGATTGATCGCTTGAGACGCAGAGATCGATCTCATACGTATTGGAGAGGGCCTCCGACCGCTGCGCTACACACGATCTTTCCGTACGTGACAATACGGCTTCGAAAACCTACAATATGACGGCGAACGACTGTGGACCGTCGACTCGATTCATACGAAAACAGGAATTCGTTGAAACGTTGGTCGAGTAAACGTTGTGTAACAGCCTCGTGTAAGTTGAACAATGTAGTCGAACAAATTGCAACTTTAACTAACCCTTGTTATTGAGCACTCATTAGAATATGAGATTTAGTTGCTGTTTTAGTTCTGCAGTCCGGAAACATATTCTAGGTGCTGAACTGTCTCACCGACACAGGTACCGTTCTCGAGCTTGGAACCGCCTCACATGTGGAGAATGGTGTCGAGTATTCTTGCATGGACGATGAACCAATGTTTGAAGGTAATCATTCTGCACTTGTTCTAGCTTTATGCCATGTTTCGTGCAACTGTTTTGTTATAGTGCTCAACTCATAATTTCATTGTTTTTATCTGCATTTTTATTATTTTACTTGAAATACTTTGTGATTTCGACTACAGCCTCAGCATAACTAGGTTCAATACCGACTTGTGCTTCTTGGATCATTCCCGCTAGTGACTGTTCATAGCAACGTTAGGATAAAAAATTGGACGAAAGGAAGGCTAAGCAAGGGCATTGGTTGATGTCGTGGATGGCGCGTGAACCGCCGGTTCAGCGTAATCGCTGTTTCGCAGACCAACTAAGTTTCCATATTCTTCGCCGTCTTAGTGAAAATTACCTGAGAGTGAAAGTGCCATATACAGGACATGATCTATGGTCCGTTAAACCTAAGCCAATACAAGAAATCGTCTCTGTTCTACGAGAAAAAGCCTTTTTCAGGGCGGAATATATTCTGATAAGCAAGCATTTGCAGCTTCATGAACAAGATTTATTCCAACAAGAACAGCACCAGTTAAGTAGTAGAAATAGGGCCGAGGACTGCACCATTTCTCGACTTAACTAGCAATCTAGGTTTTAATGTACTGATGTTATCCATCTTAAATACTATAGTTATTGCATTGAATTACCTGATTGTTCCGCGAAGAGGGAATCGCTCCTATTTCTATTTATTCCTATTTAAGAGGGAATCGCTTAAGAAATCAGTAGTGCTTTATAAGCTATTCAGGTTTACGTAGTCATTTTTCTTCAACTCCATTTTCAGGACTGCTATCGATAGTTTTATAAGTCAGCTTTTACTAATCTTCGATAAAAATAATGTCATGTTTCATTAATAAGTTGTCCCGTATATTACGTCTTCTTACCTATATCCATGCAGGGCTGGTACAGTAGTTACAGGTGCCCAGAAACACATACGTGGCCTTTGGTTTGGTCCAGTGCCTTGGTTTAATCAAGTGCTTCATCTTCGAGAGATCTGTAAATTGATGAGAGGTCTGTCTGGGAAGGCTGAGTTCTGATTTGTACACGGGTAGGAAAGTGCGAGTCATTTTATAGGCTAGATATGCATCCATTCACCTCTAATGATGCTTAGTGAAGTCGAATGAATGACGCATCATTCACGGACTGATCAACGCCGAACATTTTATGTTTTTATCCTCAATGCAGTTATCCTTAATCTAACACAGTAGTAATTTCAGGTTCTGGTGAGGAGATCTCCGTCAACTCTTGCTCAGAGAAGGCCGACGGCTCAGATGACATTGTGATCGGTAATTTCCTCGTATGTTGTATCTCAAAAAGGTTCAAAGGTCTGTTATTGATGAAATTCGAAGCAATTTCAGAAATAAAACATGATTAACATAGTTATATAGTCAGATACGTTCCGGGAAAAAATAAACAGAAGAGCCGTGAAGTCAGTACTTCCTGGATTCACGTCGTTCATAGATGTTGAATACAGTTGTAGAGTTAACTTTCTGTTTTCTTTTTTTTGCGCCCACTATTTTCAAGACATCAACAAGTGAAGGAAATAAAGACATAAAATCAGCTAAAAAATTGAACGCTGTGTAAGAGAGAGAATTGAACGTCTTTGTAACAGAATATGGATCCCAAAAAGAGTATCGTATCATGAAACCTCAACTGTCAAATCGCCACATCAAGGGCTGCAGGTGTTACCATTAATCAAAGCGAAAACTTAATACAACATGATATGCTGGCTGACAACCTCATCTAGTTAAAGACGACGATGAAGAACTTCCCACATTTTCAGTCTACAGCTCTTTAACTCCTAATTTGGGGTTAGTAACGGCAGTGTGCGATGGACTCCAGAGAACCCATATATCGCCTTCTGCCTTTGTAGGTTGTGTCGATGAGTACGGTGACTGGATAAAGACTGGACATTTCGTTCTCGGTAAAGGACTGCTGAAATACTGTCATATCCAAAAAGGTGGCATGCGGGCGAGAATCGAACCTAAAGGTAGTGTCTTAATTTGTTGGTGAAATTTGAAGTCTACAAAACCAACTTTTAAGGGCTCAAAAGACCGACTTTCTGTAAACCTCTGCATAGATAGTTGATATATTTATTTATATGATCTTATAAACTGATATTCTTTAGCTGATGCGAGGTCGGTATAAGTCTTCGTTGTCGTTATCGTTGTTGTTGTTGCTGCTCCCCTCGTAATATCACGACTCTGAGGAAGGCGAAACCGCCGAAACGTCAGCCATCGACCAACAAGTGCAACAGCAATAACAACAACAACAACGACAGCGACAACGAAGACCTATACCAACCTCTCATCAGCTAAAGAAGATCGCTTTACAAGATCATATAAATAAATATATCACTTTTAAAGGTTTTTTTGCGAGAAAAACAATTTCTATCTAACAATCACTTGATTTCTAAGGGATCTGAGACAGAGGGATAAGTAAGACTGTTCCACACTAGCACTAGATGTTGTGAAGATTATTTGTTGACCCTGTCGAGTAATTCACGTTAAATCTTACATTCTTTAGGTTGCTTTAACGGGTCTCGAACGGATGACGTTGAAGACAACGCCTTTCATGTAAAAAAATATGCTGTATGGCGACAAGGTAAACAGTCACCACAATATCGAGGGCACAAAGATTTCTTTGATTCTGGTTTTCTTCTTGAAAAATGTTGTCTAGCCAACAAAGATTATATTTTAGATTTGATGATGTTATCAAAAAATATAAGCTCAATAGAGGAACATTAGTCTTATTTATCAGAGACTCTCTAGGAGCTCTCAAATAAGGCAGAAGGTTTTTTCTTAAATTGCGCTTTTTAAAGTTGGGTGAAAATCGATCACTGAGCTTTTCTACTTTCAAAGATATCATCCATGGTCATCAAAACTAGATGTATTTGAATAACATTCTAGGAGCATACGAGATGAGATGTGGTGACGAAGGAATCCATGTGTACAAATGTTATGTGCAAGGAAAACCAGTCTACGTCGGACAGGCCTGGATTGATGCCGAAGGCACCGTAAATATATGCAAATAAGGATATTTCAATATATTTTTTCCTCTGATAAGTTTCCACTCATTTCAAATCCTATGAAAAAGATGACTAAGAAGATTGCACGCAAATCTACGCAAGTGATAAGCGAATTTGAGAGCAGATGGTGAATGGAGTGAGGATTCTAAAAACTGGGTGATTCATCTTTGTGATGACTTCTATTTCAACAGTAACGCCGAAGCACCGTGGCGAGTTATGCTTATAGTAGTTTTCCTTCCTGATCGCCTTTGATTGCTCGTCATCACATCGAGTCGTGTGTAGTGGACACCTTATTCTTATAAATACACTCAGTATAAGTATATTGTATATATCGCAATGGTTAGAGTTTTCGTACAATACACATTTGGTCTTCGATCCCGGTAGACGTAATCCTCTATTATACCACTACCGCACATTGCTTCTAAATTTGCCTTGAGAGGTAAAAAACAAGGCTCCGTATGTCTGTGCAGCCCAAATGTGCATTTCAACGAGGCCTAATGAAGTGCATGACGAATCCCTAAAAGATCGATCAAGCTCATGCTCTTTGTCTGTTGCCTCTCATGCTTATCAGTACACCAGCATACTGACCATCCTGGCCGAACTTGATTGAGAGTCAGTTTTTAGATACAAGGAATCTGTTTTCGCTCGAACTTAATTAAAAGGTCACAAAATGCTCATTATCACCTAAAAAACCAACACTTTATTAATGTTACATATCCGCTGAAATGCTAGCCAAATCCCTAAAGTTTACGACTTTTCTTTCTCATATTGTGTGAACAACCAGAACTCCCTTTCGTATTATTTTGTTTCTATCTTACTATTAATATTTTTTAATATTTTGAAAAACTCTTTGGCGCGGCATACATTGACCTACAACGATCTGTTTTTGTTAGTATTTGTCACTTATGAGAACTACTGTCGTTTTAAAGTGTTCGGTTAATGGACGTTATCAACATCAGTATCACTAGTAGGTAACAGTTGAATAGAAACTGTAAGGTGTATCTCATTTAATACTGGAAAATGCAGGGAGCACTGTGCCTTCGTGCAAAGCCTTCTCGTTATGGTGAGTTGGTCAGCATTGTTCCTCATTGGCTTTATTGCTCGATGCAAGATACCTTTAGGTACTCTACTATTAATTTGTGGGAATTTAAGACGTATTATATTTTACTTGGTGTGCATGCATGTAATATGTATAACGCAACTCATCTGAAAAAAATTTATCACCGTGTGCTAACCTTCAGACACAACTGGTAGCGTTGACATTGTTTTGTGATATTTAATAAATAAGAAATTCCGACATATTTCGATGTTCATGATAAAACAATAATGCATTCGGTATAGACCAAAACTCGGGACAGCAGGCGACTGCGGTAGGAACGAACGCGCTATTAACCTTTCCGGGAATAACGCCATAACCACCACAGCTAGCGGTTTCTTCGTTTCGCATGTCTCTCAGCTAGTTTTCTATCGATCAGTGCCATCAGCAATCGGAAAGCTCTCGAAAAGAGTAATAGCACTTTCGCTACTCACCGCAGACACCTGCGGTCCGGAGTTTTGCAATATCTCAGCATCATTAAAGTTGTATTTCACTTAGTACCCTGCCGTAAAAAATTGTAATGGGCAACAAATAGGGAGTTAATATTGTGGTATCAGGATAGTGTTTTTATCCCCGAAGAAAAATCTTTAGCTAATTTGGCTCTCCTCAAAGATCAGAATTGTCCAGGGTTCTGGATCAAATCAACGGTCCCGTAAAGCCACCTCTATTGAACATTGCTGCAGACTTGCCTCTTTGATGCTTATTAATCTGCTATATTGCTTATATGCTTCGTTTTACCTTGTCAGATTGAATGCCCTTCCAGCCTTTGCGCTATAGAGATCCATGATTTCATTTATTATTATGCCACTATTTCTTTAGTGATGCGTGACGGCACAGTAACAACGTTTTTTCTCTTTTCAAAACTCTAAACCGATTTCTACACCCAACTCTCCTATCCAGCTGAACAGATCATTCAATAGCAAACAATGAGATAGCTTAAAGGAGACTCATGATTGCAAATTCATGAGGTGACAATCCTGATAATAGTGAGGAATTTCGCCCCAGGAACCAAAGAAATGATGTGGGACTTGTTTACAACGGCTTGAAATAACCAAGAAGTTTAAGGAGTTCAGAGGTCGTTGATCACCCTGAAACATTCTTGCTAAAGCAACTTAAACCACATTATCTAATACGGATTTGAGTATACAAGAATACCACCTGTTTAGAAACCGTTACACACAATACGTCCATCTTAGAAGCAACTTTTAACACAGTTTTGCGACAATCACCTTTTGCGAGCCTTTAATTGTTTTCAGAGTCACAGAAGATGTTTTCAGAGACTATGTTCAAAAGACTCCTCAAAATTTTTCTAAAGAAACCTCGGCACCATTTTTCTCCTTCGCAGAACTGTGCCCTCTGAGTATCTTGCAGACTCTGAATACGTTCCACTATATGGAAGGCAGAATTTTGGTGCATATTCTTGGTGCACATTTGCAAAATCGATTTGTTAGTACCCATAGAATTAATTTCATAGTAACTCTCGTTCGTATAAAACTAAGTGGAAAGATTCAGCCTTCACGAGAAGTAATGCCTTCGCAAAAAAATAGGCGAACATTCGCCTAGAATTTGAACAAGGCCTTCGAATACACATGCTTTCTGAAGTTCCTAAGCAGTTTTGTAGAACAGAATCTATTAGAGTACCGCCGACACTGTTCTTAATTCTTTATAAGCCGATTGCAAACGAACACGATGCCTCCGTAAGTGAACTTTTCTCAGAAAGGTGAGCTTAATGGTGAATGTAGGCCATATTGTTAGAAGCTAGTGGGCTAAAAATTTCACAAGGTTATCCAAGTGAACAACAAGCACTAGTGCAATAATAGCCGTGATCTACAGTTTCACTACGAACCACACCGGATTCGGTCGCCAAGCTCTGCGTCGAAGAAATCTTCATGTTGGCTTCACTTTCCATGTTCGCGGCGATTAATTTCCGTGATTTGGAAAATACTGTAGGTCTTTTCTGCCCATTTTATTTTCTTTTTATATAACCTGTCTTCACGTCTGTCGTGCGGATCCCAGTACTTCTCACACTCCGTTCGTTTCCTCACATCAACTGTCAACGAAGATCTTCCAACTTTTACGTGTGGTTGCGGCTGCTGCTTGAGGATTTTCATTCCGTCTTGAATGTATTAGAATGCTGATCGTGTAATTTTCCCTGGAGTCTTGGAATAGCCAGGCTAAAGCGCTCCCAATTGGATTGCAGAAAGTGATTTCTTCCCAGGCAAGTCCGGTACCAATTTTTCTACCCCTGAGGTGTGAGAGGCTTGGTTGACCCAGGCAGAATCGAACTCCACCATGCTTGTGATGACGAACATCGCTGCCACTGTACTATCCTTTTCTGTCTATACTGGGATTAAATACGTTTTCGTACAATACAATTCATATCGCACACTACCAGCCACGTAATAAACCTTTCGCCTTTTCAAAAAAAAATATCGAGTACAATTTAAAAAAAGGAAAAATGGTGCATAACTGAATTTTTCAGAGTTTTCTCAACATCGTGATAACCATACCTGGAGTTGTGTTCTCGTTTAAATGTCTCATTCAAAATAGGGATGAAACCTTTCCAACATTGGTAGGCACCAAATTAATCGTGTCCAAACTCACTGGTTATCTGAGCATTATGAACATTCAAGAGTCTCTTAGTGGGATTCTGGTTATTTTTGGCACTCGCTCTACTCAACAAATATGTTTTTGAAGTGGAAGAAAGGTGCGTTAAGACAAAGCGCTTATTTTTCATTCAAACTGACTAAGATTAGATGTTTTTTTAGCTACTTGACCGTTCGCCTTGTAATTCTTGGTGCACTGGGTGCAAGAGCGTACCAGAACGTGTTCAGCGAAAATTTACGAATGGCAAGTACTGTATCCAGATCGAAAGTAAGAAGCGAGGTCAGTTGAATTATTCTAGTCTTTATCGTTACCATTCTGGAATTCCGCTCTGAATCACTACCAGAATAAAGGGGTAAAAGTTAGACCGCGTAGATCAATCCCTTAGGGATGCTTCATGTATTGGATTCTATTTAATACGGTAGAAGTGCTTGATTGCATATTTTGCCTGTACAATGGCTTGCGTTGGCCTACCGATGTAGCAAGCTTTTGCCCTCCCTGACCAGTCTGGTAAATAGATTGTTCCCGAGTGCGCGAAGTTTTTCGCCGTATTCGAAACTTATTCAGAGGATTTGGCAGGTGACAACGACCAATGGAGATTTCACTCATCCTTGCATATCCCGTGAGACGATTACCGGAAATACAGATGCTTGTAATACGCAAAGAGGTCACCCATTATTTATTGTCCTACCAACGAGAAGAGAATCTCTTTGCACTACAATTCCTTTCACAAACTAAAGGAGTAAGAAGATACCCAAAACGACAGATTAAGCGCTTCCAACACAGGCTTAAGAAGAAAAAGCCGGACGCCTAAAATGCCGTTAAAACAAAAGCTAGCCGTAAATCTTTTCAATCCACACAGGTTGTTGAATTCATGTGATGAGCGCTGTGAACGCCATTGTGCGGATAACTGTCTCTACATTCCTGGAAAAATTCAACAAGTACGAAATACCACGAAAACTCAAATTGTTTAAGAAGACCCAGATAGAGGACATTTTCCTTTCCGGAGACTCTTAGGACTAAATATGCTATTCAAGATGTTAAATTAACTAAGTAATTGCTTCGGCGCTCTCAGTGGTATCAGACGTTAAGCACTTTATAAGAAATGAGTGATGCACCACTTCGGTTTTGGATTCAGAGAATTCCAGGTTTTTCCTCCTCCGAAGTATTATACATGAGAGGACTCCACATGACTTCTCACCGAGGAGATTTGCAAAACGATGTTGCGTTCTATCTATGCAGACTTAATGACAAATTTATCTTTTCTGCAAAGAGCACCTTTCCGATTTGCAAAATCTAACTCTAACAGTTTCTCGTATTCTTGTCGAGCAAACGCGAGATGTTATTTTTAGTCTTTATTCACAAATAAGCTGACGTTTCGGCGGATTTCGGCTTTCTTAAGCCCTGGAAAGGTCAAGTTGACAGCAATCTATTCGGCCAAACACCTCCATAACCAAACAGAGAAGACGCTAAACCAAGATTTCAATCACATTGAACACAGAATAGCTTCTTTGCACACTCACCGCTTCCAAAGAGTCTTCCAATGAATATGTCGCGTGGAGACCAACTGCACACAATTCGCATGGAAGTGTAATGTGCCGCTCCCATTAGAATAACAGTCTTATATACTGCCCAATATAAAGCGTGATAATGAGGCATTCTTCTCTGCGGTTCATTTTCGGATCTCTGGAATTATTCCAGAACGCCTCGAGAGTTTTGCGCGCTTGTGTTCTCGATTCTTGCGCGAGGATCGTGACACGTACTTGAAAGTCCTCTCTTTGGGTCCTATGCGTGCCTAGTGGGGTATTTGGTTTACGTTTGCTGACTAGGTGTTTTTTTATGAGGACACAGAGTGGTCTACCCATTTCTCCGTACTCGTCTCCGCACGCCTTACAGGAGATCACATAAACTGTACCCGAACTAATGCAATCACTGTCTATATTACTAGGGCAAATTGTGCAGTTTTGCGTTCCACATAGACGGTAATACAGGAGGTTACGAACTATCTGGAGCCTAAGATTAGTCGGTGGCATTTCAACTACGTTTACCGAATTTTTTAGACCTTCTTCCTAAGAAGCGTTTTATAGCTACACTTACATCATTTGAGAGGATAAACGGAACCTTTTTATCGCTAGAGTTGTCGTTTGGGGACCTAGGATTTTTCTTACACCGAACTCGAACTACAGTTTCCTAGCCATTAAAAATGGCTAATTGCCGTGTCAAGTTCTGGGACTCCTCTCTCTGCTCTGTTCCTTGGTTCACACGTTAGTTGCTGTTCGAAACATGTCTCTTACAAGCGCCCTTTTCTGATGAGAGAGATAACAAGAGAGGTAATGAACCAAGATGTTTTTACTGTTTGGCTTTCCGTACCATTTCGCAATGTAGCCATTTTCTAACAGGTTAATTTGGACGTTCAGGAATGGAAGCCATTTTTCTTTCGGCTTTTCTCGGGTGAACTTGATATAATCTGACCGTGCGAACAAGAACTCGAAACATTTGTCCATTTCCTCTTGTATTGAGTTAAGACAAAACAGTCATCTACATATATACGGTAGAGTAGCGCTCCGAGATCGATCACCGGTTTTTCCACCTTAGACATAAACGCAATGGCAAAACTTGGTGCCAGTCGTTGCCCCATTGCCAACCCTCTTATTTAAGCGTAGTACTTTCTAGGCCATCTGAAGACCACGCTTTTTCGTTATCTCCACATCTAACTAGACCACGCTTTTTCGTTATCTCCACATCTAACTAGACCACGCTTTTTCGTTATCTCCACATCTAACTGATAGGGAATTACGACAAACTCTCCACCCTTATCACTAACGGATAATCTTATGTTTTTCAACCTTATCAGCTCTTTTACCTCTCGCATACCACGCTTTAGCACTTTAGTGAGGTTCGAGCTATATCATTTCGCGCGATAGTGGTTAAGGACTTTGAGAGTTTCGTTCGTAAACATCCGAAATTTAACACCAACTTGATTATTGGGCTCTTGTTGTCTAAACAACAGCTGAGGAAATGGTGTTATTGGTAGGGCTCCCCCTTTGTGTTGCTCGCACCTATTTTGCGTTTCGTCTCTAGCTTTTTGCGGAGTCTATCTTGAAGTTCATGTAAACTACACGCGACCCTACGCAATATTACCTTAGAAATGGGTTCAGATGGTGAGAAACTCAGATGGTAACTTTAGTCGTGAAATATTTGACAGACGACCAAGATGATGCTGGGATATTTGCAAGACTTCGGACCACGTGTGACTGCGCTGGGGAACGGACGTGTTATTACCCTTTCTGTGAGCAAGCGCGTTGACCACTACACCATGCGACTCCTTCGTTTCGCGTGTCTCAGCTATTTTCCTATCTACCATTGCCATTATCAATCACCCTTCAACGGGGCTGATCCGGCGACCACAAATCGGCATTGAACCCAGTTAAGCTGAGGCTGCACTTGAAACTACGATCTTGTTATTTGCTGCCTACTACAATTTATCACGTCAAGGCATCATGTGAAATAAAACCAAGATGATGCTGAGGTATTTGCAAAAGCGAGTGATTGCTGATAACAATGGTAGATAGAAAACTAGTTGAGTCACGCGAAACGAAGGACAGGCATGGTGTGGTGGTGAACGCGTTAGTCTCCGGAAGAGGTAATAGCACGTTCGTTCCCCACCGTAGACACCTGCGTTTCAGAGTTTTGCAAATATCTCAGCATTACCTTCGTCGCATTTCACATGATATCCTGCTGTGAAAAATTATAGTAGGCAGCAAATAAAAAGTTAACATTTAGCAGATACTTCACTACTTGTCGCTTTCCACACTTTGATAACTTTTGCCGTGTGATATTACTTTTTAAGCCCTCGTTCGTGGGACGTTCAGCAGCAATATCCCCATCTCGTGAAAACGCTACGCCGAAGACACCGTGTACTCGTCATGAGAACGCAAATGCTCTTCATTATCGACAAGGATGTGCGAGGTTCCAGCAGACAAGGCCGGAACAACCATCGATGTATGGAAAGGCTTCGTTGCAAAAGAAAAATAGCTCGGGCGAGTTTCGTAGTCATGTATGCAGTCGATCAAAGTCATGTATGTGGATTACACGTGATAAGCATTGGCGAAGTAGTTATGAAATGTGTTCCACATTCTGTCTATGAATTCCTCCCAGTATGCGACGATGTTCCCGAAGCTTTGAATTTTTGACTCGCACGACCACACCGTTCTGCACTGCTGTCATCGCTAGGGCGATTCGCGAATGCGCTTTTGGCAATAAGAGTAAAAACGATAGCCATTCACTGATCCCTTAGATGTACACTATGCATCCCACTTTATCGCGCTTCGTGTTTGAATGCGTCGTCGATTGCATATTTGGCCTACAATGATTTGTAGTAGCATAACGATATGCTAAGCCAGTGCTTTTGACCACCCAAGTTCTGTACGCCGTTATCGACCCCGAAGAGATGAAAGTCTTGGTGAGTCCGTAGCGCGAAATCACACCAGAGAGACCTTTCGTGTCTGACGTTTTGGGGATGAAGTAATTATTATAGAATCAAACACCTTCTGTAAGGGCGATGTGAAGCATCCTCAGATTTCCGCAACTCCATCAAGACAATTTTTAAGCATGAACCACCAATATTTTAAGAGATTGGTTAACAACTTAACACTTTGATTGTAAACGTTTAACTGCCTGTGAAGCAGAACCTGTTTCCTACAGCGTCGATATAACAACTCGATTCTTTTTTTCCTTCATCACTTTATAATCCCTTAGCACAGTTTTTCGTGAAAACCAGGAAAAGCCGTCCATTTTTGGGTGATTTTCGGAGAAGCGGACCTCACCGCGCAGCTTTGATTGCCCTTACTAAGCCGACCACACTAGAGGCATCGTATTTCTTGACGCTCTTCATGGTAACTTCAATTTTAGTGAACGGCCACAGTTCTACCTTGAAGTGCACTTCACCAACAACTATGCTATATAGCTGTTGTGCTGAAATTCGAGACGATTCCGCAGAAGAAAGTTCACCACAGGTCTTGTAATTCAGTACAATCTTCCAGCACCTATGAATTGTATATTTCTAGCTAAGAAGTTTGAAGTCCAGGTTTTTTAGAAATGTCAAGCTGTACATAAATGCCGAACTCATCTTATTACGAATACAATGTTTAGAGCACAGTAACACTCAACGCGAAGTATGCTGAAGATCAGCCTATAGAGCGCGTCAGCGTAAAATTAAACGAAGTTAGGAATTATTCGAACGTGGAAACGGTAGGAAGCGATTTTGCCAACTGCACCATTTCCCTAGTCTA